CGGAGCACAGGGCATGAGGGGTGGGGCCAGTGGCCTTTGTGACTTTGGAGTGGTAGACATGGTCCCCTGCCCCCTACAGACATTGGAGAGGGAGAGGGAAGGCTACCTAACACTTGCTCAGAGAGATTTTCATCTAGTCTTACGCCATATGCTCCAGGGTTGAGCCTTAGCACTAGAAAGCACATGCCGGAGCAGAGTCTTGGTGAGCCCCGGCACATTTTAAGCTCCGACAGCCTCTGGGGCTTAGGAAAGAAAGTTACCAATGTGCTAAAGTAACTAGGTCAGACAAGGCCTAGGAAAAGCAAATACGTAAGCCAGTCAGTCATTTAATATTTATGGAGTGCAGAGCCTAATCTGTGAGCATGAATCATCTGGGCACATACATACTTGAAAGAACTCAACTGCTTACATCTATTAAACAGAAAATCACCAATAAATATATAGCCAAATTATAAGAGGTATCGAATGCTAACAACCCAAGTATCACAAGCAATGTGTTAAGAAGCCAAATAGCTACAGATCTTGTGTTTCCCATTCCAGAAAACATGACAGCAATCATGGTGGCTGGGGGGCGGGGGGCAGTAAGCTTGAGCAACCTGTTTCCAAAAAACTTCACTTTAATGACAAGAGGTGGGGATATTTCCAACTGGACACACCACAGAAAGCCAAACTATGGTTTACTGAGGATGCACAAATGTGCTGGTTCCCTGAGAGCAGCAGCTCACAGCTGCTTTGCTCCTCTTGGTCCTTTTAACGCAGCATGACGCAGCAGCTACACCAAGCTGTGTAATTCAAACTGGGATTGTGGTTAAGGTCTCTTCTCCTCACAGTGACCTGTAGTCAAAGTTTTTTGCTATCCTGGGCCTGGACAACACTTTAAGTCAAACCTTGGCTCAGCTGCCATGTCACAGTAAAAGGATTGGGTAAGAACTCCTCTCTGGGAACAAGCACAAGGGTTGTGTTCCTGCCCCACCCCACATTGACAGAGTGTGCATTAGCCCGCCCCGCCTGTTACGCCCCATTATACTCCCGTTTCACCCTCTTCCGGGTCCAAAACGACCCATGTGTTGGCAGTTGTGCATGAATTGGATGTGCTCAAAATGGTCACAGCCTGTAACGGAAATGCGAAAGACCTTTGTATTATGAGGAGTTAGTGGTGTACAGCAATAGCTCCTCTCATGCTGAGACCTTTTTTGGGGTCTGGAACACTTTAGCCAGCCGCATTTCTTATCTTATCTAGACAGCATCTTAAAAAGCAGAGACATCACCTTGCCAACAAAGGTCCGTATAGTTAAAGCTATGGTTTTCCCAGTAGTGATGTATGGAAGTGAGAGCTGGACCATAAAGAAGGCTGATCGCTGAAGAATTGATGCTTTTGAATTATGGTGCTGGAGGAGACTCTTGAGAGTCCCGTGGACTGCAAGAAGATCAAATCTCTCCATTCTTAAGGAAATCAGCCCTGAGTGCTCACTGGAAGGACAGATCGTGAAGCTGAGGCTCCAATACTTTGGCCACCTCATGAGAAGAGAAGACTCTCTGGAAAAGACCCTGATATTGGGACAGATAGAGGCACAAGGAGAAGGGGACAACAGAGGACGAGATGGTTGGACAGTGTTCTTGAAGCTACCAGCATGAGTTTGACCAAACTGCGGGAGGCAGTGGAAGACAGGAGTGCCTGGCGTGCTCTGGTCCATGGGGTCACGAAGAGTCGGACATGACTAAACGACTAAACAACAACAACATTTCTTATCTTGCAATTGAATGCCTGCAGATAAGGTGGCTAATTTCTTATCTATCACTTTGTCATGGGAAGATCTTCACAGAGCCCCAAGTCAAAGGAGCAGTGGTGTACATTCCAGGAAGAATGTACAAGAACAGTAGGCTTGAACACAGCTACAAGCTGTCTCTCCTAATACACAAGGGTTTGTGTGAAATAGTGCATACTTGTTCTTTATACTGTATACATAGTTACTCAGACAAGTGTACAGCTCAACAATTGTGTATATGGATCCACAGATTGTAAGGCTGCTGCTCTCTTACCATACCCCTTCCCCCAAACTGCTACACTATTCTGTAAAGTCACTTAAAATGAAGTGGAATAAAATGGGGAAAGAGACAAGAGGAAAAAAAAGAAAACCACATATATTTTCACTGGAGTTCATGGAAGTTGGCTGCCCTTTTCTATTTGAATGGCAAGTAGAACTGAGCACCCAATATCCACAGGCACCTTTGAAACCTTTAGGTTTAATTACTTGACAAAATTTTACTTCCCTTTCCCTTTTGATGCATGATAAGACCTGCATAGGCACTAATTGACTCATAGATCCCAATGCAGGTGTGAAGGTGATTTAAAAGGGCCCATTTGCAATGATGGTCTGGATGCTAATTAAACCCTCAGAAGTTCTGTGAACTTCCATTTTCCTGCTGTCAAGGTTAAAAAACTGAAATATGGAAAGTACGTTCGACAAATGAGAATCATTACATTTTTCTCATTTGCTGCGCTTGAATTAAACTTTCTAACCCTTCAGGTTTAGAGGTTTAATAGTTAGCTTTTTTTATCCATGGTGTGCTTTGCTACCCAATCCTATCAGGAGGAAACATAAATTGACCCTTCCAGGTATGTAGTGGTTTTAGCAGTAATTAAGGGCAAAACCACTGGAATATGGCAGACCTATCTGAAAAGTGTTAGTTTGGGAAAGGAAAAATAGTAGATACAGACAAAAGGAGAATTCCCTGGATGCCTAGATCCAGGTTTGGGACAACTACTCTTTGGTGACAGAGCTCCAGCAGAGATTTAAAATCACAAAGCATGCAGCAAAGTAAATGGTGGAAATATAGGCTGTCAGATCTTTAAAAATATCCCCTTCTAAGTTGCGTCCCCACTTCCTGTAGCATAGAGAGAGACCACATATTTGCTAAGTTAAAAATGGTTTACTTACAAATTCTTCAAAGGTCAGAACCATGTGCTTTTCCATACAGCAACAATAAAAGCCAGGCAGTATAACTTAGATTTCAAAACGGTAATCAGGGGTGCCAACTTGGATAAATATTGTGGGAGCCCAGGTAATCCCTGTCCCACATAACCAATCACATTATGCAGTGCACACACAACATTTGAATGAGAATGCCCATCAATTTTGTGGGGGCTGAAGCCCCTGCGGCACTTATGAGTTGGCTCCTATGATGGAAGAATTTCTAAATAATTTATATAGAAACACAAAGATGGTTTGCTTAAGCTATACAGTCTAAGCCTGGAGCATCTAGCTTAGGCCTCCTTGCTGGTAGGGTTCACATGGTGGAAGAGAGAACAAAGAGTTTGGTAACCCTTTCTCCCAAGGTGAGAGGGTGTGACCAAGTTAAGCCTGGCAGGACAGCTTACTCTATGGTCTTAACCCCTTCATACATTAATTAGAGTTAAGCATGTTGGTTATACAAGGCTGGATATACCCCACAAAAATGGACCCTTGTTGCATGATAGCCTCTCGTGCTCTGCTGTCAGTAAGTTAAGTAGTTCCTCTCTAGTGGCTACCTAGAGTGCGCCCTCTCTGCTTTGTTCCCCTCTGGGTCTTGGGGCAGTTTTCATATTCCCAAACATCACTGCAGTTAACTTTACCTCAGGCCTTCGCTATAGTTACACCCTTCCCATTTAATGGATTCTTTAATGGCTTTGCAGTTTCATCGCAGCCTGCAGGTGTAAAAAAAAAGAAAAAAGAATTGCATTCTCAATAAATCAAGAGGAAGGCATCTTTATTTGATGTGCCAAGTCTCATTTGTGGATGTATGTCTCCAGACTGTATTAATGTCTGCACATTCTTTAATCCCACCCCTCCTTTTGGCTGGACCTTCTCACACTTCACTCCTGATTCTAATCTATTTCTGTCTTAGTTTAATTTGAAGCAAGTCAAAATCCATCAGAAGAAGAAGAAGAAGAAATGGAATGGAATGAGAAGGGCTATCACAAATGTTTTAACTGCTAATAAATGCCCAGAGGAGTTGTACACCTATTACGTTTTACCTCTTGATTGCTGTACCAATAAACCTCATACCTCGATAGCGGGGAAGGGGAGGGAAGCTGTAGCCCTTCAGATGCTGTTGAACTACAACTCCCATCAGCCCCAACCAGCATAGACAATGGTTCAGGGATGATGGGAATTTTAGTCCAGCAACTTCGGGGGGGGGGGGAAGGCATATGTTCTCCATCCATGGTCTTCCAGTAACTAACTACGGTACCTAAGCCTACAGTCCTAAATTCCCAATCTTTGGGAATAAATCTGGTTGAAATAACTGAGTAAACATGGAAAGGTTGAGGCTTCGTGGTACAGCTGAAGACATTCCCCTGCCTGAAGCAAGGATGGTGGCACCCCATTAAAAGCAGAGAAGCTGACCGGATTGGCAGTTGAATCTTCTCTGACTACTGGAAATAGGACAGCACCCTCCACCCCCACAAGGTCAGTCGGCTACCTTATGGTATAGGGTTGGCCATGTGGCACACGCAGCTCTAGTCTCCAACACCTTACTGCTACCCCCTGAGCCCCAGCTACAAAATCTGTGGCCCGAAACTGCCACCTCACCTTGTGCCATGGTAGGGTTTCTCTTATCCCAGAAAGTGGCTGCAATAGGCCTACAGCATAATGACACATAGAAATGATCTCACAATTGGAACCAAACTTTGTTATGGGGCAACTAGTCAGTATAGTCTGCATTAGGGATGGGGGAGAAATTTGATTCAGTTTGCATTTAAAAGTGAGTTTCCATGACAATATGAAGACTGAAATGCAACCACACTTCAAAATTCACACTTAACCTGAATTTTGTGGTGCATTTCTCTAACCAAGCAATGTTTACAAAAATACACATAAAAATGAATATGCTACTTAAAATAACATGCAAAAATGCATTTTATTGAGAGAAATTGTTTGCAAGGAATGTGTACACTAGTTAAAAATGTATATAAAATGTGTTTATTTGGAGAAATTCACAGTGTAATGCTGAATAATTTTCATGATACTCTTAAAAACAAACAACAACCCACAAATTGCTGCAGCAATGTGGAGAAGTGGGAAGTAATGTGGAAATTTAAGATTGGAAAATGAAAAAGTTAAGATAATTGAAACTGACAATTCCTTCCATTCATAGTCTGCATTCCTTGAATTTTTTTCTTTTTGAACATCTTTGATATATTTTCCAGGGGCATGACTATAGCTTGGTGATATAGCAGATGGTTTGCCTGAAGAGCGTCTCAGGTTCAGTCCATGGTACCCCAATTTAAAATGAAATAGCAGAACTGGGAAATACCTTTGCTGGCTGAGAGCATGGATGCCAGTTAAAGACACAGTAGAGAGCACTGGGCGAGACCTGGGGTGAGGAACCATGCTCCACCACATGTTGCTGAACTGCAACTCCCATCATCCCTGGCCATTGGGCATGCTTGCTGGGGCTGATGGGAATTGTAGTTCAGAAACGACAGGTCCCTCAACCCTGGTCTAGACAGACCAGTGACCTACTTCGGTATAAGGCTGGTTCTTATTTTGTTGTGAGTCTGAGTCCTTTTCAGGCATTACGTCTAGGTGTTATTTAAACATGTGGGGGGCAGTGGGAGTGAGTTCACTATCTCAGCCCCCTTGTTGCTAACCCTACCACCTTCCAACTTGTGGTAGGTGAACGTCTGCAGTGGGGAGCCCCAATTTCCCATGGTTCTAAAATGCATGGGGAGCATCCATAGGTACAAAAGCTTCCCTGCAGCACAAATTCATCTTTCTCGATTTGAAAGGTGACAGAAATGTCAATGGGGATGTTGCTGGCAGACATATTCCCTCTGCTCCTCTCACATTTACAGCCTGAAGTATTACTTCTGTTATACCGATTTCCATAAATGTTTCTCTCCCTGAGTTAGGTCTTAAAGGTAAACATCATGTGATGACTAGTGAGGCAGCAAATGAATGTCAGTAGCTCTCTGGGTGTGGAATTATTTCTTCAATAGGTAATTGGTTTGCAGAGTTGGGTGCATGTGTCTGAGACCTTCACTCCGTCTCTCTCTCTCTCTCTGTGTGTGTGTGTGTGTAAAAAGAACACAATATTTGTCACTTAAACCTTACAAGAAGGACAGGTTACATATTGCAATCAGTCATTTCCCCACCACAGAGATGGTTAGAGCTGATAAGGTACTGCATATAATATGCTGGATGTGGGTTCGAATGTTGACAACACTGCTATCTGAAGCACTGGCGTGTCTTCAGAATGGCTTCTTAGGACGTGCCACTTATCCATTTCTCTAGGCTGCCAAAACCCATTATCAATTTCACTTAACATCTCTTTTTTTAAAAAAACGTATCTTTATTAAAGATTTTCTTGGTTTACAAAAGTATGTGCAATCTCTCCCCCCTCCCCCGCCCCAGTAACATGTTTAACAGATCAGTTTCATTAACATCTCTTTTTGAAACTTTTCCTTGCAAGGCACTGACATGACCAGCCACCAGGTGGAACGCTTTGAAAAGCGTATGAAAGGCGGTTGGAGGTTGAAGAAATTGTATCCTGGATCAATTGCTCTTTTTCAGCAGTGCCGTTTGCTGTTATTAAACTCTCAGCATCTCATTTGTCTGCTCTGGATAACCACGCTGAGAAGCATGTTCATGACCCTGGTGATGAGAGCTGATATGGCTGTCTTCATATCTCTTCATTTTAAGCCCAGAAAAACAAACACACTTGATAACTTTTCTGCCTTGACAGCAGCCCTGTGAAGCAAATTTATGCACAGTGCACTTCTGATGTCTTTTTTTTTTTTTTTGGAAGGGGGTAGCCATCATGAAAAGGATTAGCAAATGTTAAGGAGAAGGCTCTGAGAAAGCTGCTGCCTTTCCTCACCAATTACTGTAGTTCAAAAGGCAACTCAAAATCGACACTGCCAAAGATGCCGTCCACAAGTTGGAGCTGCGAATTTCTTTAATCTGCAAATCTGTTTGTTGGAGAGCAATTTGTGTGTGCATGTGTGTTTGTGGGAAAAATATAGGATGCTTCTTGACAGTAACAACAAATCTATACATTTGATACTAAAGATAAATTTGTGGAAATTGTAATGAATAGATAAAACCTGAGGTATTTTTACTGAGTTTTTCTTGGGTACAATTTGCAGATGAAACCTTTATTGATAGAGAAGCTACCTCATTATATATATAACTCATGAATTGTTAAAACTGCTGTCAATAGCAGGCTTTTTAAAAAAACAACGGTTTGTTGTATTTGCTGGGTCTTTATAACAGTCCTTCCTTTCTGATATTCGTATGCTATGCTGTAACCTAAAATTCTCTGAGGGGCTTACAGTGAATAAAGAAAAACAACAACTGTAATACAAAACACAAACCATTAAAAGGGAAAGAGCTAGATAAATAGAACAAAACAGAATTTGCTGCACCACTGCCACAATTAAAAAGTGTGTGTGTGTGTGTGTGTGTGTGTGTGTGTGTTTGTGTGTTTTAAGGTTCCAGACCACTTAAGCTATTTAAAAGGCCTGGATGAACAGAACTATCTTTACATTGGATGAAAAAAGATCACAAAGATGGTGCTGGGTGAGCCTTTTTTAGAAGGCTACTCCGCAACCGGGGTGCTACTACTGAAAAGGCTTTGGTGGTTACTTCACTTTGTGGTCACTTCATTCACCCTGGAGCAAGCAGGACATCGAAGAGATCCAGGTCGGATATATATGGGAGAAGATGATATTTGGGTTATGCACCAAAAGGTGGCCTATATCGTTACATGTAAATGAATTTCTAATTCAGATGAATCCCAGACTATGGTTTGGAGACACAGAATTGCCATGCATGAGGAGAGGAGAACACAAAAGTGCAGGTCTCAGTGTCCCCTCATGTGTTTCACATCAAACCATGATTTGGTGTTCCATCTGAATCAGCTTACTATTGCACCTGATATCTGGCCTAAATATCCATGTGTGCACAAGTATACCTGTTACTCATTTTGAACCTTTAAAAAAACCCTTAAAGAGAGCTTTTAAAAGATCCTTTACCCCTACCCTTTAAATCCATCTTCGGCTCTAGTGATAGCAGATGTGGTGGGGGGGGGGTGGAGAGAAGAAAAGCATGGGAAGAGACAGTTTAGCTATAAAACTAATCTAAGGCTATGTGATCATTAGCAGCTTAAGACTCAGGCCATTTCCCTACATGGCATTTCAAGTCACATTTGCATGTTGCTGCACAAACCAGAGAGCGAGGTGGGATGTCCTATGCACATTACCTGTTTGTTTCCCTGGCTCCTGCACCTGCCTCTATTCGTTAAGCTGTGATTGCACATGCAAAACAGCTGCCTCACAGGAACACACCTCAGCTTAACTGTGAAGTGATTGTGGCTTATTGTTTTCAAATTGGATGGCAGCTGCTTAGAGGGGAAATGCATCAAACAGCAGTATTCCTCAAGAACTACGGGATATGGATGGTGGCTAATAAACATTGTGTGGACACAGCTTCAGACATCGGGAGCGGAAGGAAGCCTACTGGAGCCAGAGGAAAAGGTAATGCTTACACAGCGTTGTTAATTCATCTATGAAATGTTATCGGTATTAAAATCAGGCCCTCTCCAGCTTATTCTACATGACTGGGGCCATGGGTGTAGCCAAGGAGGGGCGGCTGCCCCCTTAAATCAATAAAATTCAATAAAAATACATAGCAAACTGAGGTTCTGCCCCCCCCCAAACAAAAAGCCTGCCCCCCTGGCAAAAATCCTGGCTATGCCCATGACTGGGGCAGTTTTGTGCTTAAATGTGGCAGTAGCAGTTCCATGTGTTTATTTTTGCTTTCAGACCCAAGTTGGCACGCTGTGTATTTCATTGAAATTTCTTGTGCTGAGGTCCTTCTTGAGGTAATTGGATGCTGAAATGAATCCTCCCCTCCTCCGTCGAATCTGGTGTTTCTTCTCTAGCTTAAATTCACCCACTTCTTGAGTCCTTTTTCCTCAGTTCTTTTTGTTCTACTTTGTCTTCCTTCTACCATAGGCTCTTAACTGCCATTTTCACTGAAAATTCCTCTCAAGTTCCATCTTCCTTTGTTCACAGCCTGGCCTCCCATTGGTCAGGGCAAAGATGCCATGACATCATCACCCTGACCAGGTCATTCCATCTGATGTTGCTCCTTTTTTGCCTGTGAGAGTTGTGATGAAGCAGAGTGTGTTCAGCTAAAGAACTGACACAGTTGAGGGTGGAGTGGAAAGTTAGGTGCTTTCCCCCTTGCTTCTCTTTCTTTTGTTAACCCAAGAACTGAATAATGTTTTCCCTCATAAAATGTGACATTAAGGGTTCTGTTGCTCTTCTTAAAGGCGTTTAAATAATTCACAATGGTGTATCTCCACAGCGCTGGAAACGTTGTTAACAAGTGTCTCTCTAGAGAGTCACGGTTCTGCTTTGAAATTCTCATTCCACGTGAGAAAGGAAGAGTTCAGAACTTCTTGGCACCGTAGAAACTGTATTACGCAGGCATATTATCATTTATTCATATAGCATAATCTATGTACATGGTGCTTTGGAAAGAACAGGCACATGAGCGTTTTATTTTACTGGATATTGAATATTGGAACATAACATTGTGATTTTCAGTATGCGCAATATGGAAACAATATGTTCCAAAATTTGTATTTGAAAACATGTTTGAGAACATGGGCACATGCCACAGGCAATTCCCAGTTAACCATGAACTCCCTGTGGCATTATATGAAAATACTTGTTTTCCCCAAAGCCATATATCAAATTGATCTGAAGCCTCTTAAATCAAAGGACTAGACTCTGGTGTAGCTGATTTGTTGTTTGAGGTACATTCTTGCTTTAGGACCATAGTTTTCAAACTTTGTTTTGAAGGAACCTGGGGTACCTCAGAAGCTGATCAGCAGTTCCTCGATGAGATCACCATAATGGCAGACTTTATTATTATTAATTGATTGAATATATATATATATATATATATATATATATATATATATATACACACATATATATATATTTCAAGGGACGCGGGTGGCGCTGTGGGTTAAACCTCAGAGCCTAGGACTTGCCGATCAGAAGGTCGGCGGTTCGAATCCCCGTTGCTCGGTCCCTGCTCCTGCCAACCTAGTAGTTCGAAAGCACGTCAAAGTGCAAGTAGATAAATAGGTACCGCTCTGGCGGGAAGGTAAGCTGCGCTTCCGTGCGCTGCTCTGATTTGCCAGAAGTGGCTTAGTCATGCTGGCCACATGACCCTGAAGCTGTATGCCAGCTCCTTTGGCCAATAAAGCGAGATGAGTGCCGCAGAGTCGGTCACGACTGGACCTAATGGTCAGGGGTCCCCTTTACCTTTTATATATATTCATATATTTCTCTGCAATACAGTCCACTGCTTGGAAAGTCCAAAACAGCCAGGATTGAAGGGGGAGGGGGAATGCTATTAAAAAGCGGAAAAGATCTGGCACAACACTGCCCCAACAGTAATGCAGAGACATGCAGGTGCAAAACCGCATTTTGCACTAGTGTGGACAAGACCCACGTGAGCGTCTACCTTCTGATACAGTACAGATACAGGTTGAGTTGCACTTTTAATTACATCCTGTGGTGATAGCCTCCCCCCTGTTTCACTGTAATCTCTGCTTTGCATAGAAAAGTGGATTTGAATTTTATAGAATGTGTGACCTCTTGACTTAGTTTGTCCTGAAGTTTGACACCTTGCTTACTGCTTATTGGAGGTTTCTCTCTACTTTTCAACTGTGCTTTTAATTTGAAGATGATTTGCTCATCACAGGTTAATGAGGCACTCATGCATCTTCTTCTGTACAGCAACATCACCGTATCGATAAAGACAGTTATGTTTTGTCTGAGTGCCAGCCTCTGTGTCTGCCTTTCTTAAGCAGGGAACCTGGTAGCCACAAAATGGACAACCCAAAAAAGCTTAGACCATAAGTGTATATATCCCCATGCCTTTTGGATAATCAGATTCTAACTTCTTTGAACTGGAGCTATGTGTGATCCCTGGAGACTATGCTATTTAATGTAACCTGGTAGAGGCATTTTTTTATTGGTTAATATTGCTACCACATAGCAAGCAAGTTAAAAGACAGGTGTGCCAATTCAGTTTGGAATTGGGTTGGATATGCAACCATTTCTGCACTGTGACACTTGCTCGTGAGGCCACTGTGTGTCTGGCTGTGTCTCTTCATGGGGTTGCACAACTGACTTGTGGGGCTATTTGTTGCATCTCATTGTTTCAAATAAGGTCAAGATCTGAAATTAAGAGGATTGAAATGTCTTAGAGCAGTCAGTCCCATCCTGAATGCAGAAATGCAACAGAATTACCTTCCCTTAGGGATGCAATCCTATCCTACTTGGGGTTAAGCCCCACTGAAATAAATGGAGCTTATTTTGAGGTAAATGCACATGGGATCAAACCACTGTTGGGACCCACCCATTTGCCGTGACCCACAGAGCACCTGCCTTTGCTCTCCTTACACTTCACCAGGTGGCTAATCTGGTTATTTCCTGAAATTTGAAGGCTTGATTGGCTTTAACACTTGCTGGATTCAGGACCAGAGAGGTCTGGCACCCACAGGGTCATAACACACTCCCTTTGTCTCCCTCTGAAACTCGGGCTCAAAGGCAATTTTGTGTTTCCAACTTTTTTCTTTCTTTTTTATAAATGACTTTCCTTCAAAAGATCTGAAGAGGCAGGGAAGCTATGCCAGTACCTTTGAGACATCAATCACATATGGTGGGAGAAAATGATACTTTGCAGATCACTGAAATTTAATAGAACAATTTGTATCGGCCTACACGTCTGTGTGCCATCATTCCAGCTCTGAGCAGCATCTATGGGCTAACAGAACCACATGTTGCCTTCCTTCCTTCCATCTAGGAATCCTTATAGATTAGTGGCAGAGGGCCCAAACAGATGTAGTGTTAAGTATGCAAATACATAAAATGTACCTGACTCTGTCTGAGCACGTGGGAGGGCCACTCTGAGCCAGAGTGCATATGCATAATTTTTGAGCCCCCCCTGCCCCCCGGGTCTGCACCCAGCCCACCACTGTGGTGACCAGGAGGTTCCTCACAAGTGGATGGGCCAAAAAAAAAG